CACAACACGGGCGCGTTTTTCTGTGAATTTTCACCTGTCCGACGGGTTAAAACCATAGTAACAGCGGGGCCGAAAGGAGGGTGGAAATTTTTCCTTTGTGTAGGAAAGGTCGAACGCTCCGAATCCTCTCTCCGACCCCAACGCCGGAGCTGCACCACTGTGTGGGGTGAGTCTCGCTCGCCCGCACCCCCGTGCGCTGGTTTTATATCCCTGGTTACCCTCAGCTGAATACTCCGGCTGGCGAAGTTGTGCCGAATCATCCTCAACCCTGCAGACCTCCGGAATATCCGGCCTTGCCTTGCACCCACCCAACCCACACCACTTGCTCCTCGTGTCCGTATCTCGCACCACTATCACACGGGAGTGGAGATCCGCGAACGCCGTCGCAGATTCTTCTCTAGTTCACTTTACCGACAACTATTTAACGATATGTTTACGGCACTTGATTAACTACAATACTAATCAATATACTCGTAAATTGAGTATAAATAATGTCCCAGTTGGATTTTGTTAGTGAAAAGACAGAAACTTGAAAGAACTCATGGAGAAAAATGATGTATTTCCCGGAACAGTCATATTCACTAATTTTTACTTTAATTTAGACGAGTATAAATAATTAAAATATGTTGTTCGCCAAATGAACATACGAGTCTAATAGAACTTTTCTACACATACAGTGTGGCTACGATTTAGGTGACACAGGCTTATAACTCAAGTGTTAATTAACGAATCTTTTTCAAATTTAAACCACTTATGCAGATCAATGGGGTGGACATTTGAGGATCATTAAACTTACGTATATCCATAGGTGTGCGTTAGGGGACATTAAAAGGGGGTCGATTTGTCGGTATTTTTTATTAGCGAATAAAATACGGAAATGCTGATGCCTTAGTCTTAATCAGTATCATCGAAAATATACCCATGTCAAGTTTCATCCAAATCGTATACTGGGTTGTACAGAAAATTCATTTAATACAAATGTAAATGATTTAGGTGACACAGGCCTATAACTCGGGTGTTAATTGACGAATCCTTTTCAAATTTTAACCACTTATGCAGACCAATGGGGTGCACATTTGAGGATCATTAAACTTACATATATCCATAGGTGTGCGTTAGGGGAAATTAAAAGGGGATCGATTTTTCGGTATTTTTTATTAGCGAATAAAATACGGAAATGCTGATGCCTTAGTCTTAATCAGTATCATCGAAAATATACCCATGTCAAGTTTCATCCAAATCGTATACAGGGTTGTACAGAAAATTCATTTAATACAAATGTAAATAAGCTAATACAGACTGGATAACAAAAAAAAAATAGGTATAACAAAACTCAGTTTATTTTCTTAGTTTCAATGTAGCCGCCATCTCTCCTTATACATTCTTCTATGTGCAGGAGCACCGTCTAACATAAAATATAAATTCTGTCTAGCATCTAGCGGCAGATTGTCCAAAACATCAGTAAATTCCGTTTCCAAATGACGTAAAAAATTTTGGGCGTTTAAAGTTTCTATAAAAAAGGGTCCGATAATTCGATCATTAAAAATCGCGCACCAAACATTCACTTTATAAACATACTGATTCTTAGCATTCATTATCCACCTGGGATTGTCTCTTTCCCAATATCGAGAGTTCTGCGTCGATACAACACCATTTGTAGAAAAAGTAGCTTCATCGCTAAAAATTATTTTTTTCAACAAATTTCTGTCGTTCAGAAATTCGCCTTGCACCCAGAAAGCATAGTCTAGCCTCCTTAAATTGTCTCCTTCTAAAAGAGTGTGTAAAATTTTTGGTTTAAAGGGCTTCAATTTATTCTTTTTTAGACATTTTCTTATGGTCTTTTTGTTTAAAAAGTAAATCGTCATATAAGAAAGGTAACAGAAGAATGTATAAGGAGAGATGGCGGCTACATTGAAACTAAGTAAATAAACTGAGTTTTGTTATACCTATTTTTTTTTTGTTATCCAGTCTGTATTAGCTTATTTACATTTGTATTAAATGAATTTTCTGTACAACCCTGTATACGGTGTGGATGAAACTTGACATGGGTATATTTTCGATGATACTGATTAAGACTAAGGCATCAGCATTTCCGTATTTTATTCGCTAATAAAAAATACCGAAAAATCGATCCCCTTTTAATTTCCCCTAACGCACACCTATGGATATATGTAAGTTTAATGATCCTCAAATGTGCACCCCATTGGTCTGCATAAGTGGTTAAAATTTGAAAAGGATTCGTCAATTAACACCCGAGTTATAGGCCTGTGTCACCTAAATCATTTACATTTGTATTAAATGAATTTTCTGTACAACCCAGTATACGATTTGGATGAAACTTGACATGGGTATATTTTCGATGATACTGATTAAGACTAAGGCATCAGCATTTCCGTATTTTATTCGCTAATAAAAAATACCGAAAAATCGACCCCCTTTTAATTTCCCTTAACGCACACCTATGGATATACGTAAGTTTAATGATCCACAAATGTCCACCCCATTGATCTGCATAAGTGGTTAAAATTTGAAAAAGATTCGTCAATTAACACCTGAGTTATAAGCCTGTGTCACCTAAATCGTAGCCACACTGTATACAAATTATTATTATTTTTTACCTTTAGCAAAAAACTTTTTTAGGGACGCCTATGAAACTCATTAAATTTTATTGCTAGGCGTTTTTATACAATCATGTTCAATTGATTTTGGAAATATTATAACAATACCTATTAATTTCCTTCTCCAAAATTTTGACGGGACTCTATTGAATTATATGACCATTTTTTTTGTCGTCTATTCTAATATTCATAGGTCGAGAAGTCTCTCCAATTCTTATTCCATTCCAAGGTATGCTATAAATGCAATTCTTTAATTTTTGGGATTTTTTTCATAAAAATAATCTTTCACCACATTTCTATTTCATTATTTTAAAAAAAATCACATGATGCAAAATATCCAACAAATAAAAAAATAAACATATATACAGGGTGTTACTTATGTCCATAAATTATAAAAGGCGATCTACTGAATTCGGATATAAATGCATATACCAGTGGCGCAGATACCAAGAATGACTCTCACTGAAAATCCCAGAAATTCGACGCATCTGAATATCTTGAAAATTCTATCACATTTTAATTCCTTGGGTAAAAAATCAGGGTGAAAAAATTTTGTATTGTTATGGCAGCAAGGGATGGCCCTGAAAAAAAATGTGCCAACTATTTTCCCAGACTCATTATTATTTTATATTATAAGAGTAATATTAGATGCTTAGACTTTAACTATTGTACTCATGATTTAGATGGTGGAAGGTTTATCTTTTTCTGCCCAGTTAGATGCGTTATCTAGAGTACCCCAAGGTTCAGTTCTTGGACCAGTTTTTTTCCTGTTATGTATTGTTCTGAGATACGTAATTGTGTACCATCCAGTCTAATGTCATTCACTGATGATATCAAAATTTATGAAAATCTTTGCTCCTGGAATAATTCTCTTACGCGACTTCAACTCCTGTTGAATTGTATGAAAATTGGTTTCTGCCTATGAATTTTAACAAATGCTCTATCCTAGACTTAGAGAAAAAAGCAACCTTCATTTATTATTACCAGTTCAAAAATCTAATAGTATTGCAGCCAGTTGAATCTCAGATATATCGGAGTATTATACTAATCTAAAATGGGATGATCAAGTTAATAAAGTGACACAAGGTATGAGCACATTAAGCTAGATTCTGCATATGAATCGTATTTTAGTGCCTGGGATAGTTTGCCTAGCAATATTGTGAATGCGCCCTTAATCAGAGTATTCAACCGTTGTTACGTTGGTCACATTAATTATGATTCATAACTAATTATTTATTATTATTATTATTTGTACAGACTCATAGCTTGGTATTTAGGAACAAATTTTTAGGATTAATAATTGCCTGATGCATTTCGAAGATATAAACCAAACTTTTGACTTTTTAAATGATGATGAATATATGTACATGGCACATAATCGTTTTATTTACTGATCATAATCAACCAACCAATAATCATATGGAACCAAAGCGTGGATATGTTTTCCGCTGTTAAATTTACTAAACAAACCATTAAATTCTCTAAAAAAAAAGTATCTTCATCATGTTCTAGACAAAGGACATGTATGTATTACAATTAAGTCTTTAAAGCCTTGTTACTTATCTCATTGATAGTATCAACTTCGTCCAATAACTTTTCCCTTAGGTTAAGTAAATTATTAAAACTCTCTTTGTTTACTTATTTTATTTTTCAGAATCCCCCATAAAAACTACTATATTGAGGTGAAATGGTACTCAATCGGGTCATAAAATCATTCTTTTATAAAAAAAAATTAAAAAAAGTCCTTTGTTTGGAACACTGTTGACAGTATAGTATTTTTTAATATTAAAGTATTTAAAGATCTCTTAAAACAAATTTAATGGCAGAAAAATCTTGACTTATATTTTGTCAGTAAATAAACCAAAATATTGGTCAAACTGTCAAAACAAAATATGTACATATCACTATAATCAAAAGAAAGAGTAGATTTAGTTCATATCTTGTGAACAAACACCCTATATATTTAAAAAAATATTTTCGATTATTCCGAAAAAAATAAACAACTATTTGTGCGCCTAATTTTTTACTTGCACTAGATAGAAATTTATAAAACCCATTAAATTTTGTCTGAACTAAAATTTAATCAGGAAGATGCAAAGCGAAATCGTCCGACAAAATAAAATAAAGTAATTTTCGATCAATGCTTAAGCTGTAAAGAACATCAGCGAACGGACATAAATAATGAATTTGTAGATACAGGTAATTTTCTTTTATTACTGTTGTACTGTTAAGATTAATTGGAGCAAAATGAAGATATGCGTAAAAACTCATACGGAATCAGAATATGTAGACAAAAAAAAAAAACAGTCAAATTTTAAAAGGGTTTTGCATTTGCAGTTTGTTTAGTACTCCACAGCAATTAACAATGTGTTGTCTTTACAGAATTCGACTGGTGAACCCGTCTACAGAAAGGTGGCAGTGGTAGAAAATTTCTTCGACATCATTTACAACGTTCACGTAGATCTAGAAGGCCGTCCTGGAAAACACGCAGGGCAGAAAAGAACATACCGCACTGTAAGTTTTATTTATTTAGAATCGGTTCTAATTGTAAAAAGTTAATGAATCTTAGAATGATCTCATAATGTCAAATAGTGCAAAGTTTCATATCTTAAAATTTTTACTTTATTTTCGTTTTGTTAGTTTACCTTATAGTTTTATATTAAAGTCGCTACAATTATTAAAATTAAAAACAGCACTGCAACTAATTTACATTACAAAACAGCAAAATTTGTCTGTTGTTTATTTCTCAAATTTTGCATTAGTTTATTAAAGATTTAAGAAATGGTTTCGCCTCAATTTGATTTATTTTAAGCTTAAAATAATTCTGACAAATAACCAATAATCGTCTAAAAATACGAGATATGAATAGTTAATTAAGTGATTAATGATATCAATCCATTCTTGAAGTAAAAATTCCATATACTCTAGTTAATATTGATATTAGTAGACATATACAGGGTGTAACTAAATAAGTGTAAAACATTTAAGGGGGTGATTCCTCATCGAAAAAAAGACAGGATCTTTCATATAAAGAAACTTCATTGGAGCATCCCTTGTTAAGATACAGCCCCTTAAAGGGGGTACATAAAATTTGTTTAACAATTTTTTTCACAAGCACTAAACAAGTTACAATATTGAAATTAACCTGACATTTTCTACTACCAAAAAGACACTTAGCCAGTAATTTATTTGGTTTACCCCATGGTTGTAAGGGGTGGAAAACGCAACCCCTAAAATTTATTTCCAACGTAATTTTTTGTCTTATTATTTTTTTACCATTTAAAAATTTATTTCCGATAGCCTGTTTCATTCTAAAAAAAAATGTCTCTTGAATTTTTTGCCCAAATTAAACCAGTTCGCAGCAAAAAATTATTTTACGAACAAGATACATATCGCCATAAAACGAAAATACGAAACTAATTTATCTAGTAGGCCGCCATTAGCGATACTGACAATTAAATTGGAATCAAGCTGTCAGTTTGTAAATTTTTGAAATTGAAGTAATACTAATTGTGTATTGTTCTGTTCTTAATTTGTTACTTTAATAATTCACTTGTTATTAAAATGGCATACACAAATGAGGAAATGGCTGATATGCATTACGTTTACGGTCTGTCGCAGGGGAATGGGTTAGAAGCTTCTACAAGATATGCTGAAATGTATCCTCAACGGCAGCATCCTTCACATAGAATATTTGTCTGACTTCATCAACGATTACGTGAATATGGTTCATTCAACAAAAGAACGCAGGATTGTGGTCGCCATCGAGAAGTAAGAACACCACAGCTTGAGGCAGCAGTACTTAATTTGATAGAAGAACAACCTACTACCAGTACTAGAAAGATTGCTTTCCAGCTAAATGTTGATCATATGACGGTATTTCGAATTTTAAAGGAACATCTCTTATACCCTTACCATCTGCAACGAGTACAGGCACTGTTACCGCGAGACTTTCCGAACCGTCTTGAATTTTGCAATTGGATGCTGGAAATGATTAGAAGAAATCGTGACTTTCTGAAGACGATCGAATTCACAGACGAATGTAGTTTTTCTCGGGACAAGATTATTAATTTTCATAATTACCACATATGGGCTGATGAAAACCATCACGCTATTGTCGAAACTAACCATCAAGAACAGTTTTCTCTTAAGGTGTGGGTCGGAGTTATTGGGGATTATTTAATTGGGCCTCATTTTCTACCTCCTCGATTAAATGGTGAGGCATACGTTCAATTTTTAAGAAAAGTGCATCCCCCCGTACTGCTGGAGGAAGTTCCTTTGGGCGTCAGAAGGGATATGGTTTTTATGCATGATGGGGCTCCCGCCCATTTTAGTCAAGTAGCACGTCAGCATTTAACTGAAACATATGCAAATCAGTGGATAGGTCGAGGAGGACCACAGAATTGGCCCGCTCGATCCCCGGATCTCAATCCTCTGGATTTGTCTACTTGGGGCCATTTGCAGCATTTGGTTTATCGTACTCCTGTTCGCGATGTAGAGGACTTAAGAAACCGCATTATCGATGCGTGCAGGGTAATTAGAGAGACTCCAGGAATATTTGAGCGAATACGTGGCTCAATGCGCCGACGTCTAGACGCATGCGTAATGTCTGAAGGTAGACATATTGAACATTTACTATGATTTCTACATGTTGTATGTTTTGTTATTATTAAATTAGTTTTGATTATTCCCCTTTAATCATTTAATGCAGGTAGTAACTACAAAATAACAGTAAATCCAGTCCGCATTTATGACGATGTATCTCTGTAGTTGTTCGTAAAATAATTTTTTACTGCGAACTGGTTTAATTTGGGCAAAAAATTCAAGAGACATTTTTTTTTAGAATGAAACAGGCTATCGGAAATAATTTTTTAAATGGTAAAAAAATAATAAGACAAAAAATTACGTTGGAAATAAATTTTAGGGGTTGCGTTTTCCACCCCTTACTACCATGGGGTAAACCAAATAAATTACTGGCTAAGTGTCTTTTTGGTAGTAGAAAATGTCAGGTTAATTTCAATATTGTAACTTGTTTAGTGCTTGTGAAAAAAATTGTTAAACAAATTTTATGTACCCCCTTTAAGGGGCTGTATCTTAACAAGGGATGCTCCAATGAAGTTTCTTTATATGAAAGATCCTATCTTTTTTTCGATGAGGAATCACCCCCTTAAATGTTTTACACTTATTTAGTTACACCCTGTATAGAATACCGATATAAATGTGTCCATTATCATAATCATAGATATAGTAAAAATAGACTATGTTGCCGTAGTAGGTATGTTTTTTCATTGCACTTTGTATATTAAATTCCCATACCACATAATTTTCGTCCGAGATATCAGTTAATGTTTATAGGTTAGTAAGTTAGTAAGTTAGTTCTCAACTACAAAGAATTTCATACAATTTAAGCAAAAAGTATATATTTTGTATATGATTTTTTCAAAGCCCAGAACAAAAAATTGGCTGTTTTCATTCTTAAGTAGAGCTCTTATGTGGACTGGTCTAATATTCGAATGACGAAATTGTACAGGTGATTCTTTGACCAAAAATAAAAAAGATATCACCATAGATCCGCAAATACTTCGTTTCCAAAATCAACCGTGATAAAGTGGAATTTTTGCGACAATTTTGTTTTGTTTTTTTGAAAAAGAACAACCCTATTTAATCCTTAAGTAATATGTGGATGATACACACCTATATAGTATGTTATATCTTAATTGTCACTGTTACTCAATGTCTTTTTGCACAGAGCATTGCTTTGTACCTACACTGGCAGAGAGCGACCTACTAATCTGTAAGTAAAATGAAAGCAAGACAGGTACAAAGCAATAAGAACCCCGCGAATTTGACTCCTATGTTGGAAATTAGCTAACTGCTTTTTATTCCTGGTGGCATTTCTAATAAAAGGCAACAGTTTCGGTTTATTTAAAAAACGGACCATTTTCAGTTATTATTATTTTAACTTGCATTGCCGTTTTCAAAGTCCTCCAATGAATTTAAATACATACTCTGTTACTCCTCTAATCACAAAATAATTTATTAATTTTATTTTTCTAGAAATGCTATTTCAAATACGTTGTTATATTATTGAAAATGTAGAAAAAATCATTGGCGTAGAAATTTTGCATTTTATTAGAGACGATAGTGTTTTATTCAGACTTTTAATGAATATGCATTTAAGTCGTATTATTATAAAAAACCATTGGCGTAGAATTTTGTATTTTCTCGGAACTATGCCTGTAGTAATATGTCCAATTTCTGCTCCAATCAATTATTTTTCTAGAGAAAAAGATGTTTTTGTGAAACGAATATCTATAGAGATATTTTCAGTTCATGTGTTTTATAGCGCTAATATAAGTTAAAATTAATAATAACCTTTAATAATTATTTTTTTTTAGAAACATTAAAAGCAGTTCTTAGTAATATATATTATATCTTCACCGCTGGATGACATATTTATATGGGTTGTCTCTAAAATATTAACCAAGTATTTTAAAAAACTATGACAACCAATATGGAAACTGTTCAAGACAGACAAAAGTGATTATTTGTAGTTATTTTTAGACATGATAAATTTTTCTTAGTTATTGCAATCGTGTGAGGTGTAATGTGAATGACAATGAATTTTATTTTTTTTTTGTTAATTTTAAAGCAAAGTGGTGTGAGAGGTAAAAATTTTTTAATAGTCAATTTTAGCTAAACAAAAAAAGTTGTACCAAAAATAACTTAGGGATTCCAAGAAACAGAAATGTTCGTAAAATAAACTCCAAAAAAAAAAATTGCGAGCAGAAAAATGACCAAATTTTTTTAGTGATCTTTTAATGGCTGTAATTTCGTGAATAATCTTTGTATCGAGAGAGAAAAAAAGCATCTTGAGGCTTGAAGATTCTAGTATTAAAATCTTGATGAAAAATTTTTTGAGCATCACGACAAAAATTTTACAAATTTTTATTTTCAAAACTGTTCATGAGCCCAGAAAAAAATTTTCTGGCTTAATCAATGCCAGAAATCCAGAATCATTTAGCTTCAATTTTTCTTTATTTTCTGTGCGATTTTTTCTCATTGAAATATCGGCTATTGAGTGAAAAGTCATTTTTTTTTTATCATCGATATCTCATGAACTACTGATCGTACAGTGAATTGAATCAATCCTCTTCAAGGACTTTTTGGTATGTTTGAGAAAAAAAAATTATACTCAGTAATAATTTGAAAAAATGCAAAAAATTACTTTTTCTACTTTTGGAAAATCAGCGACTACTTTGCAAATATTGCGAAAAGTACAAATGTTTGTAGGTTTATTTTTAGCTCAATACATGCCCATTGAGGCCTGTAAATTTTGAAATCGATCGGTCGAATCGCTTTCCTTTCCTGAATCGTCAAAGTTTTCTAAAAAAATGAAAGGAGCAGGTTTATTGCTCCTTAAACATCAATTAATGTTGATTAAGATGAAAAAAAAATTTTTCTCACATTTTCGCATTAAATACTCAATCAAATATCGACAATATTTTTTTTTGCTGACCGAATTTAAAAACTTCCAACTGTATTAGTAGAAAATTTTTGTAAAATTTGACATTTGTATGTACTGTTTTTAATTTTCAAATTGGAGGGGCTGTATTTCCTAAGGGGTGAACATTTTACAAAAGTCATTTTCATGTAAAACGTGTTCTTTTTAGCATTTAAAAAGACTCTAGTAAAAATTATATCTTATTTGGGACGCGGTGTATTTTACGTAGCGAATACGTACTGGGTTGGGGGAAGTAGTACGCTGACACTGTGTACACAGCGAGTAAAAACCGATTGGCAATACACGCTAACAATCGCCGTTGTTTCCATTTCCAGATAACAGAGACGTACGCCTTTCTGCCACGAGAAGCCGTCACACGTTTCCTCCTCGGCTGCACTGAGTGTCAGAAGCATCCACGCTCGCCCTCGCCCGCCTCGGTGCTCCCCACGCCCAGCCCCAGCCCCACTTTGCCGCCGCTCCAGCCCGCCGCTGCGGCGCCCCCCGCGACCCCCCGGCCCCCCCAGGAGGCGCCGCCGCCGCCACCGCCGCTCCCGGACGGGCCCCGCCAGAGCCTCGCCGCCGTTGACCACTCGCCCGCCCCCCCGGCGGGCCGCAGCGGCTCGCCCAAAAAAGAGACACCGTTAAAAACGAGCGCCCCCGAACCCAAGAGATCTAGCAACCCGCTTGACGTGTCTAATCTCACGTCGCGCGATCCCCCCCGCAGCCCGGCGAAAAAGAGGCATCTGAACAATCTGTCGGACGCCCCGAAGCTGTGGTCGCCGATCGACGACATCGAGAAGGAGCAGGACGGGCCCCAGAAGAAGAGGAGGATGCTCACGGCGGCCGGGGACATCGATTACTCCCTGCCCATCACCACCACCTACTTGAAGTACATGCGGACGCTGGGGTGCAGGGACGAGGACGCCTTCAAGTTCGACAACAAGCACGTGAGTGTTGTCATTGACCACTTTTTGCATGAGACCATTTCTCATTATTTCCATTAAGTTCGTTTAATGTTCATACTATTTTACTATTAATTTATCTATTACCATTTTTTTTTATTTATTACTATTTATTGTTTTATTTATTACTATTTATTAATTTATTTATTGCTATTTATATTATTTATTAACTATACACAGTTTTCCGAGTGTAGAACGTAACAAAATAGGTGATAAATTAGTTGTTAGCTTTTAAATATGTCGTTAGTTTTAAAATAAATTCAAGAGTAACCTTCAAATTGGACAAAAATTGTATTTTTTAAATTCTTTTTGAGTTTTCATTATGGTATTTTCCTTGATATACAGGGTGTGGCGTGTATAATCTATAAAAATTAACCTAATTATATTTGTAATAGAAAACTCTTATACGAAAAAATTCTATCTTCCCACGAAAAAATTCTATCTTCCCGTTTTTTTTTTTGTAAATTAAAGTTCAACGAAAATGAAGGCCGACCCTGTCTTATTTATTAAAAACTTTGGAAATGCTTTTATGTGACCCGAGATGCAACCTTATAATTTAAGTCGGTTTAACTTAATACTAGTAATACTAAAAAAAGGTTAGGTTAGTTAAAATTTGTGCAGTCAACTGATTTTGTATTTGTATTGGATTCATTATTCACTTAATTAGTAAATATTAAGCATCGTCCATCGACCCATCAGTGTTAAGAAGTGAAAAATTCCAGACAAAAGTTTTTATTTTGTAATCCACGGTAGTGATAGTGTAATTTTTATAAAGAAGTAAAAAATAAGAATAGCGTGCCGATTACATTAAAAACGAGATTCTTATTTCTTATTTTGCTTAATTTTTTAGTTTGTATACAAACTAGTTTTACAATGAACCGAGAAAACAATGCATTTACTATTTCCGAATGTGTCGATATGGTGTTAGTGTATGGTTCAGCCGGAAAAAATGCGCTCGCGGTGGCTAGGTTGTACCGGGAACGATGGCCACAACGTCACCCCCATGTGCAAATACAATCCTATAGCGCGTTCAGCGGACGTGGTGAGCAAGTGAACCTTAATGTTGAAGATGCATTGTTGGAAAATCTTGACGAAGACCCCACAATTAGTACTCGACGACTCGCACAGCAAATAGGAACCTCATCTCGTACCGTACATCGGATCTTAAGGCGCCAGCTGTTGCACCCCTATCATCTGCAACCAGTTCAACAGATTTTACCCCCGGATTGTGATCAACGAATGCGTTTTTGCAGATGGTTTTTACGGCAATGTGCCAATCAAGTAGACTTTCCTGCTTATGTTTGTGTAACAGATGAGGCGACATTTACCCGTGATGAAGTGAATTTAATAATATGCACATATGGGCCGATGAAAATCCTCACGCGATTAGGGAAACTCATTTTCAACATCGGTTCTCGGTAAATGTTTGGGCTGGCATAATAGGCGATGTACTTGTGGGTCCCTATGCCTTTGGAGGACGACTAAATGGACCAACATATGCTGACTTTTTGGAGAACCGGTTGTCTGAATTATTGGACGATGTGACTTTACAAGTTTGTGCACGCACGTTTTATCTTCAAAATGGGACTCCTCCACACAGTAGGTACTCGAGGAGTAACGACACTTTTGAATAAAATGTTTCCTCAGCGATGGATTGGACGCTTTGGTCCTGTGCCGTGGCCACCTCGGTTACCCTATCTAACTCCAATGGACTTTTATCTTTGGAGTCACTTGAAGTCATTGTTTTACCAATTGCTACGGTGGAAGAATTGCGAAACCATGTACTTGAAGCTGCTGACAGAATTAGGGGAATACCTGGAATTTGGGAAAATATTCGCCAAAATTGAGTGCGTCGGTGCCATGCATGTATTCGCGCTAATGGAGATCAATTTCAACATTTTCTCCGGAAATGGTAAGTTTTATTTCATTTTATTCTATATTTTAATAGAGTTTGTTTAGTGCACGCAGTTAGCAACTACAGATGCTTACGGATGCGGTTTTGTTTGCGAACTCTTGCAGTAACAACAATGCATTGAAGATAGTAATTACTATTAATTACTATAATAAGAAAATATGTTTTTTTAATACCTATTTTTCTTAGTCTGTACTTTTGCATTCAAAAATTCCTCAAAAAATGAGAAGTCCCTTTCTATCTTCCAACGACGATTGTTTACGCGGCTGGTCTACAGCACGTAACTCATCGTACAGCACAGGGACAGGACCGTTCCAGAGAAAATATTTTGATCCATAATTTAACTTTAATTTACGAAAAAAAAAAAAAACGCAAAAAGACTTTTCTATTACAAATATCGTTAAGAAGCTGTGTTTAATTTTTATAGATTATACACCCCACACCCTGTATATTCAGGGTACATAATTGGAGAGAAAACATCATTACTATGTTCTGAAGTAGTAAGAGTTGTATGTTGTTACCGTATGAATAAACCACAAAAAAATTCCAAAGAAGCCTAGTTTGAGCGAATTTTTCAGGTTAGGTACCTATCTCATAAAACAGACTGATCGGTGATCAAGGTTAATGGTAAGTATATAATGGTAGGTATTAATAAAAAACATTGTCAATAGTTAATATAATTTAAAGTGCAAAATGATCCTTAAAATTAATAATAATCAAAATTATTAAAAACCTATTGAGAATCTCTGGAATTATCTCCTGAATAAAAGGAAGTAAATAGTTGTGGTCGCAGATAGCGCGCCGTCCGTTTTTTGTCCTATTTTTGTAATAAACAGAAATTGCTCGTTTGATTTTAGGCTATCAGTTTGAGTAAGTATAAAAGTGTTACATGGTAGTAACATGTGAGGCGGATCACGAAAACTATGAGTTAAGTCTATATGTTTTTGTACATTTTTATGTCAGTGATTTTATATAAACTGAAACAGCTAAGTTATCGATGAAGTCAGGGGTTCCAAAAATGTTTGCATTACCATGATAAATAAGTCAGTAGTAACATTAGTTAGTAATGCTGATGTAATAGAAATATTAATAGATATACTATATCAAGTCTATCAATAAATTAAATGATAAAAGACTGCCTTATATACTTAACTTAATGAAATACAAATTTGCAAACATGTGAATATGAAGCAGTTTGAATATAATTCGAGCAAGAATTTCAGTTTGCACTTTGGAGCTAATTGGACATGAAGGATACTCGAAAACTGCATTAATAGAAAGCTAATAATTGCGAGACATATATTATTTGTACTAATCGATACAATGTAGCAGACAGGACCAAACTGGATATGGCACAAAAAACAAGTGAAGATGAGACCAGTACCTCTTAGTAATTTGATTCACTGAATCTAAAATCATAATTCTCGGATCATTTTCTGTTTAATCTTGACATCACGAAACTCATATAGAAAGCGGTTTTCGAGATTTCATATCGAGTAGTGAGTGATTGGAAAAACTTTGGAATCCATGACCTCATTGCACTATGTATAACCCCGTAACCTGTTATTTGAACGATGTTGATCGCGCAAATTCATGATCACTCAAACAGTCAAAGGAATACTATTACGTTTTTTTTTCAGTGTAGATAGAAATTTTAAAAAAACGACTAACTTTGTGATACAAATCTGGGTTAAGGAATTAAGGAGTTTTCAACAGGAATACAGACTCAATTCCTTAGAGTTTCTTGGTTATACCCCAAGTTGTGGGGTTACGGGATTATTGGGTTATGGGTTTGTGGAACCCTACCAACTCATGAATTCAGTCGTATAATTTCGGATCCCTGATGTATGAAATCCGTTTTCCTATAGAGTTTCGATGTTTGGGTCGAAACACGAACTGATTGGGGAATTTTGACTTGAAATTTGGATTCTATGGATAATTAGGATACACCGGTTTGGTTCTCGACTCCAGCGATTTTTTTGTGACGTTACTATCAAAATAAAAAACTTCTGTTCCATCCATTCCACTTTGTCAATCAAGAACTTGCCTTACGGTGGTATATATATCCATACTAATGAAAATATAATAAAGTACAAAAGGTAATTGGGAATAGACCTTTTTAGTAATAACGTCACATACGGTAAATAATAGGCAACGCCATAGTGCAGATTGTCATGAAGAATTTCTCAATATTTTTAATAGGTATGTTTTCGACCGTATGTACTTTGGACATATGGGCCAAAAAATGTCTTCTTTGTCATGATCTTAAATATCGCGATATTCTGGCAATATTAGAAATATTTAAGAAGTTTCAAACCCCAAGTGACAAACTCAAATAATTATAGACTTCATATATTTAAATTTATAGAATAATATTGACTTTTATAGTAATTAATAAATTAAAATTATATCAATGTTACTGAGCATGCGCGTTAAAGATAATTTCATGTAAGCCAAGTAGCCTCGCAACAGGATATAATTCAAAATACTACTAAGTTATGGTTACGAGTACGTCTATAATAAACCACTTGAAAAAAACACTCGATAAACACATTGATACAGCACAGCACCAAGAAAAACAATAAAAATACTTAGTAGAACTAGAAAATGCCAAAATTAAACAAAAGAAAAGAAAATACGCTATTGATGACAGCGATGACATATCAACAAGATCTCACCTGCGTATGAGGCTATCCTTTCCGAGTATGAGCATTAGGAATAACGGCTAATGTTAAATTTTTACTTTATTCTAATTTTGGAATATTCTTTTATATCGTTTTTTTTTTGTAAGTTTTAAACACATTAGTGCATCTCTTTTACGAAACACCCGTTGGTTGTTCTTAAATACTTCCAAATCCTTGTAAAAATAAATTAATTTGAAGTTGTTCATTTTTCTAGTATCTATGTAAATAGTACACAAGGGTCAGATTCGATCTGTACAATTTCAACTGTGACAATTTATTGCGGGTTGCCTAAATATGTGACGGCACACTAAAAGAGTCTACTGGTAGAAA